CGTGAGTATATTTGCGTGCGGTGGCACCGTTTGTGGTGAAGATGGCTGTACCGTTGCCATAGGGGTTCTTGTTAACCAAACTGATGGCGTTGTCCAGGGAGTCTGCCTCCAGAACGACCAGCACGGGCCCAAAGATCTCCTCGGTGTAGCACTTCATCTGAGGCTGAAAGAGCGCACAACGGAGCACTTTCACAGACTGCAGACATCTTTGTAATATCACTCACGTGCAAGTACTTTTAACACATGAAGCCTCATACTGTGACGTTGCCGAGGATGGTAGGTCCCACAAAGTTGCCGTTCTCGTAACCTTTGACTTTAATATTTCGGCCATCCAGTAGCAGCTTTGCTCCCTCCTCCACGCCGCTCTGGATCAGACTGCAGACTCTGTTCCTGGCTTGGGGAGAGATCAGAGGCCCCAGATCTGCACCAGGCTGGTCTCCTAGCAGGGCCCCAAAAAACAAACAGCTATAAGGTTACACGTTCTGTCACTTGACTGATGCGAACAAACTATGGGCACTGACATTTCGTTGGCCACAAAAGCCAGGACAAGGGGCACTAAAATGGATTCTTGCGGGTTTCCTGTGTAATGTACAAATTAAACTTCATATCGCTGTAAACACACAGACTCATTCTCCATTTTACTTCACATCAACTTCTTTTCTCATAGGATTTGATCCTCTAGACCGCCATTTAGGCCCGAGCCGCAGATCTGGCCACAAATTTGCAGCATGGCTGACTCAACAAGCCCAGCTGACTCCCAATGTGAAGTTACAACAGGCCATAAGGCGAGAGGTGAGGTTAGGGCGGTGTGGGTGGCCCCGAGATGAATAAAACCAAAAAGGACCTTGGGGGAAACGCGCTCAGGAGAACAGGAGAGGCCGAGGTGAAGGCGATGGGGCGTGGTACCTGCATCCACGCGCAGAGCTTTGGCACGTTCCACCAGCTCCGGCAGCCAGCTACGCGCCTCGCCCACCAGTATGGCTGTGGACAGAGCCATGCAGCGTTGTCCCGCTGCCCCGAACGCCGCGCCCACAAGCTGGTTCAGAGTGTTCTCCTTGTTGGCATCAGGCATCACCACACCATGGTTCTTGGCTCCCTACAGTACACAAGAAGTGGTTAGCCCTTTGCCGTTTGATCTCCACATTACAGCAACTGGTTAGTCACAAGCAGGGACATAAAAATCAGGGAATTAGATTAGAAACAAACGACCTACAAATTTCACATTGTAAACTTGGTCCACATTTCAGTCCACGTGAGGCAATGGAACATTTCCAGTTCGCAATCTGGGCCTTTTTAAATGTGATGCACAGCTGCACCATGCACATGCACTCCTCAGTACCATTGGGCGACACAAACACTTGAAACTGTTGGCCAATGCTGCCACCTTCTGGATGTTTAAAGCACATGTCAGACATTAAAACTGTTGCTCACCATGTTGGACTGCACCCTTTTGCCATTTTTAGAGCCCCTCTCATAAATATACTCCCCTGCTTGATTTGAGCCAACAAAGCTGATAGCCTTGATGGCCGGATGGTCACAGATGAAGTTCACAGCTGTAAGAGGAAGACAGTTACAGAGATGACTTAAGTAATGGCAGGTGATTACGCTTTATGATTTAGAGCAAATGTAGATATCTTCATTGTTACACACATTGTTTTTCTGCCAAGATAACTACATTTTCTATCTGAATGATGGATTTAAAAAAAGAAAAAAAAAAGGATTTATTGGCGGTAATTTGAGGCTTTAAGCTTATTTGTCGAACATCTTTACATCTTACTGTAACATTACACAGCCACCAGCTCTTACCGTCGTGTTGGCCGTGGATGATGTTGAGCGTTCCATCTGGAGCGCCAGCATCCTGCAGCATCTTAGCCAGCAGCATGGCGCATGTGGGCACACGCTCCGAGGGCTTCAGCAGGTACGTGTTGCCACATACCATGCCCATAGGGAACATCCACAGGGGGATCATGGCCGGGAAGTTGAAGGGGGCAATGCCGGCACACACCCCAAGGGGAAGGCGATAGGTGTAAGTGTCCATGTCTTTGGAGATGGAGGGCAGGGTTTCCCCGAGCATCAGGGAGGTGATGCTGCAGGTGTGTTCTACCACCTCTGCACAGAAAGAAGTATGAACCATAGTATGGTCAGGTTTAGCAATTAAAGGATGACTGGCATCTTTTCATTTCACGAGATTTTGTCCTTATGTTCAACACCCCTGGCAGTAGTTGGTTATTTATGTGCACAGGCACGACATTTAAACAAAAGCATGTGTGTGTCAGCTGCTACACCAGGATAAAGTTAGCAAAGGTAGATATCGTGATCTGCATTTTATTAAAACGATGATTCAAGTATGATGTAAACATGAAATATTTTTATTATAATGACAACTCCAGCTGTCACAGATACATTATTTTTTATTCTAAGCCAATTTATACAACTACGTCAATAAAAAAACCGGGCATATGAAGATGATCTAAAACATCATCTCCATGAAAGAAATAACAGACATAACAAACCACATCAAATCACTGAATTTGAACTAATAATTTTTTCAGGAGCAACTTTGTTAGTTCACATATTACTAAAAACTCATCTCCTTACTGTCCCAGGCCAATTGTTGCATGTTATTTACTATCATAGAAAGGCCTAAAAATATCAAAATTTAATCTTCCACAGAATCAGTCATGTAATAAACCACCCTCTGTCCCGCTTGTCCCATATACAAGATGAAACAGATTAACAGATTCCTGTAAATGAGTTAAGAGCCTACACAAAATGCAAATATTTAACCACTTGTTGCTCAATGACAAAAAGGACATCTGTGTGTGTGTGTGTGTGTGTGTCAGACACACTTACGCAATCCTCTGAACACATCTCCCTCTGCATCTGCAAGGGTCTTCCCCTGCTCCACTGTGATGGCCTTGGCAAGTTCTTTCTGAAACGCATGAGGACGCTGTATCAGCTATATAGCCTAAAGTCAAGTTTCACTCAAACAAGAGCTCTGAACTACTGTGGACGGACTAACATGCTGTCTGTCCATCTGTTCATTCATCCATCCAAGCCCACGGCTGGAGTGGGGCTGGATACGAGCTGTCATATGGTGAGAGGTGGGGTGCACTCTGAACAAGTCACTAGCCTATTGCAGGGCTAACGCAGAGACATAGCCAGTCTAAAATCTCCAGTTAACCTAACACGCATGTCTTTGAACTTTGGGAGGAAGCCAGAGTACCCAGAGAGAAGAGGGAGACCTAAGAACCTCTCTCTGTGAGGCAACGGTGAGTCCACGCTCTTGTTTGATTCATTAATTAAACAAGGCTGAATGTGTTTTTACTTTCAGAGCACCTTACGGTGACTTACAATATTGTCCTTGATAAGCTGCTGATAGCGCAGAAAAACCTGCTGTCGAGCCAAGATGGAGGTCTCAGACCAGGAGCGAAAGGCTCTGGAGCATGAGTCTACAGCAGCCAGCATCTCCTCCTGGGTGGCTTTGGGCACGCGGGTGATCACCTCATTGGTAGCCTGTGAAAGTGGAAAAAAGTCATGATCTCTAAGCTGGATTTTTTTTAAACACTAAAAATAAGTGCTAATTTATACTGCTCATTCAATAATGCCAAATCTGAATCTAAATGTTGACGTGGGATGCCCATCTACACAAACCAGTCTGGACCAGTATGTCCAGGTTAAGCAACTCCATACTGTACAAGCACAGTGTGGTGAGGCATCAGTATACATTCACCTCAACTAATAATGGATGTTGCCAAGAAATACTAGAAGTACTTACAGGATTGTGAATATCCAGCCATTCCGAGGACTTGGATTCAACAAACTTCCCATCAATAAACAGTTTGGTGGTGGGCTGTGAGGAAAGATATCAGCATTTACTCGTAGGGTTGATTATCTCTGAAATGTATTACCAGATTAACAGTTACTCATAAGCACTCACCACAGAGGAGGAGGAGTAGCACAGTCGGCCGACTCTAAATGGAACCTGTGAAAGCGGCACAGCAGGGAGTCAAATCGCTAAAAGTAGCAAAAACTGCAGTATTTATCCATCCTAGAAGTACAACGTGCTGTTTCATTTGCACATTTTGTCAACCAGCTGCAGCCTGTTGGCCGATTAGATTAATGTGCAACTACTGAGTGTGGAGTTGTGAAAATGGGGACAAAGTCAAGCTGAGTGAAGCGGACTGAGAGAAGGAATGCGGTCCAGGCTGCAGGTGCACGGGTAGACTTCTTTGCGCTTAAATGCACCTGCAGCTGAACACGAGTAGAAAAACTTTCTTCATGTTATAAATCAGCTCTTGAAGGCATAAAATTATTATTATTACTTTTAATCCTCTTAAGATTTTTGAACTGAGGAAAAACGTTATTCCTCCCCTGTAAAGGAATGCACGGACATAACTTCTGCAGGACACTGTGTCAACAATCAGAGCTGACCACACGCTGCCACTTGCACTTTACCTTGGTCCTGAACGCTGATCTCAGAGCTGTTGACGCCATTCTGGGATATCATGTGCTACGCCGAACTGATTTGACCCACTGTGCAGGCAGGTAGCGCGGTGGCCAGCAGAAGACAGCATTCAGCTTTCCACCCCACAGATGTGAATCACCTGTGGGCGGGCTCTGGGGAAATTGAGGCTTCCTAAAGGCTCCAAATTCGCCCTCTCACTAATAACGCAGCGTGATTGGGTTCTCGAGATTGCCTTCTGTCCAATCACGACTCCAGCTTTTGGATTAAACCCGCCCTAGCTATGGAACGCCACAAACTATTGGCTAATTAAACCAGTCAGTTCTCCTGTCAGGAAGTGTGTCTCAGCTGAGCTGTATCCACACGCAGTTTTGAACAAAGTGGGACTTTGCTGTAAAGTGTGTGATCTTTAAGCGATCAGTGGCCCTTATCCAAAAGATTAAAGTGTTATCGCAGCCAGCGACAATGCGCTTGTCATTAGCCTGCCTCGCTAAGGTACTGTCACTGTTCGCCGGGTGTTATGTGTGCATCAGCTGCTTAATTTCAACCATATGAAGCCCAATGGTGCTTAGTCATGGACCAAAGAGTAGGTAGGAGGGAGTTTAGGGGACACATCCTATTGGCTGCTCAAAGTGGATGAGATTTTTTGTAGAAAAAGTACTTGCAGTAACTGATCCAGTCTAGTCGAGGGAAATCTACAGAAGTATGGCAACTCAGACTAAGGTGAACCCACTGCATAAAACCACAAAGCAAAACTGACTTTGTTTCCAAACTGACTTAACATTTTCTGTTTTCTGTTCAGCCCATACTTCACGGATACTTCAGAAGCTCCTGCTCCTGGAGGGTTCGCATTGGTAAGTCATGCCCTGGGAATGTTCAGCTAAGCTTTGGTGTAACTTTTTTTTTATCACTAAGGTAATGAACTTGTTTGTGCACCAGCTTTTGCTCTAAAAGGTGTTGAATATGACCAGCTTCCAGTCAATCTGATCAAAGATGGAGGGCAGCAGGTACAGTGTGCAGACAAACATGACACTTTCTGCATGATTGCTTGAATATTAAAGAGTCCAAAATCCTGCTAAAACAATATGTAGTTTCTTAACAAGGTGCTGTCTTAAACAATAAAACCATGCATTTCTTTTTTAAAATCATGTGTTAGTCTGACAGTGGCTCTCTCTGTGCCAAAGCTTACTGAGGAGTACAAAGCGCTAAACCCCATGCAACAAGTGCCTGCAGTGGAAATTGATGGCACCACTCTCTCTCAGTCGGTGAGTCTGCTTCCATAACACTGTCATGTTATCTTATTACATTTACTGAATATTTTGGTAATACTGGTAACAGTTCTAGTAAAAACCTGACTTGTTTTCTAACCTTTAAGCATTTGCAGGTAGTTACTTTGTAATTTCAAATAAAATACATTAAAATTCCATTTAATTACACCTTTAGTCGGTGTATTTTTAATTACACCATGTAACATTAAAAAAACGTTACCAAAATTCTTTTGTTTATGTAGCTGGCAGTGATCCAGTACATCGATGAGACCAGACCAGGACCCCGTCTTCTTCCAGCAGACCCAAAGACGCGTGCCCAGGTTAGGATGATAAGTGACCTCATTGCCTCGGGTATACAGCCCCTGCAGGTAAGCAGAACACAGTCCACAATGCCATCAGTTCAAATCTCTACTCTGGTTCACAAAAAATCCATGCTTGCAATGTCAAGGTCAACCTGCAAGACCAGTAACTTTATCTTTTTTTTTTTTAATTCCTGGACTTCGCAGAATTTGTATGTAATCCAGAAAATAGGAGCGGAGAAGATGCAGTGGTCTCAGCACTTCATCGATCGTGGTTTTCAAGGTAAGCGGAAGCCTGTCATCTACTCCTCTATGCTTCGTTTTAATTTTAAATGCGGAGAACTGCACTCTGAAAACACTTTGTTTTACACAGCAGATGATGAACACCGAGTTGCCTCTATAAGTGCACATTTTTGCTGTCATTACAAAGCGTGACTCATCAGCTTAACCATCCTGCTTTGCTTTAATGTCGCAAGCAGGAAGGCTTTTAAAACTGACGATGATGATTAAATCAACAGTGATCCATTCCTGAGAACTTAACACAGAAGTACAAACTTTTCTGTTCTCCTAATATTTACATTTCCAAACTTTCCAAAGTAATAATCTAGTTCTGCCCCACATTTGACACCCCTGCTCTATACATTAGAAACATGAAGTGATGAGAAAAATGCCAATGTGTTTTACATGCATGCGTTATTACCCCCAGCTCTTGAGCCAATTCTGAAGCAAACAGCGGGGAAATACTGTGTAGGCGATGAGGTAAGAACATGAATATATCACAGGACAACATCTGGGCAATTTCCAGCACAAAGATTACTTCTTACTTTCTGCTTCTCTTTTAGATTTCCATGGCAGACATCTGTCTGGTCCCACAGGTCTACAACGCAGAGAGGTATGCTATGAGAAGTTTCATAAAACTGCAATAGAAGCGCTACTTTAATAGAGATGGGCTTTCCACAAAATCAAATTTACATATTTTCCCCCTGGCGTGCAGTGCTGTTTCTCTGTCTAGTGCGTTTTGTTCGAGCTGACCAGCATTTAAGATGGTGGCTATAAAAACATCTGCCTTGTTTTAAATATGATGGAACCAGATGAAACTAGTTGTGCCACAAAGCGTCAAATAATACATTTGGAAGGTTAGCAGCAGCATCTCTTTCCAGAAATCAGAACAATTTACTTCTATTATATTCAAGAGAAGGCAGAGATCCCAAAACATGATATAACCTCGAAACAGCCTGTACAGGGAAGCATCACCACTATGTTTTTAATGTCTACAGGTTCAAAGTGGATGTGGGGAAGTATCCAACCATCAAACGGCTAAATGAGGCTTTACTTGAGATTGAAGCTTTCCAAGTGAGCCACCCATCACGCCAACCAGATACACCTGATGATCTGCGTGCTTAGTACAAAGCCACTGAGAAGTTGTTTGTGTTAAATAAAATGACTGAAAAGCGACTCTGTTCCACTGCAGTTACTTTAAATGACAAGAAAGGTTCAAGTAAAAAAAAATATTTATTAGTATTTTAGCATGAAATTGAACTATGACTTTAATTTGCCTTTTTAAAAAAAACAAACAAAAAAAACAAACAAACCACCATAGAGATACGTGGAGAGGAGGTACGGGACAATAATGTGTTTAAAAAAAAAAAAAAAAAAAAAAACCCCAACGCTCAGATTTGCTATGCAAAGTGGAAAACCTCTCGTCTCACTGTTCGCAGCGCGTTGCCTGATGGTGATTTTCGAAGACACATAATAAAGTAAAAGAATCACACAGGAGACACATGAATAGAAAGTCATTGCAACAAAACACAAAGCAGAAGAATTAGTCTTCCAGACAAAACGCTCTTCTCATGTCTGATCACATCACGGGCCATGGTGGCTAAAAACTGTTTCCAATTTGGACTCATTTGTCAAAAGGAATCTCCACGGTGCATTTGATTGTGTCATCATAAAAGGAACCAGAGCAGTCCGACCCACCAAACACCAGCAATGCACACTGGATTTTAACATTTTCACCCTGTCCATGTGTCCCAGTGTCTCTTAGGATAGCGCTGCCCAAAAGCATCATGCTGTGTCCAGCACGAGGCCTGGAGCAAAGCAGGGGAGACACCAGTGAAGTCCACATATTCGTATCTGGGGGAGAAAAGAAATGAAGCTCGATTAAAAAGCAGCTGATTTCATCAATATTGATGCTTCGTGCAAAATAGCAATAATACTGAAGAAAAAAAAAAAAAAAAAACCTGCTCACCTGTATTAAAGATGTGAACATCCTGCAGGGCTCCAATTGCACTGCACCCTCCACTGACTAAAATCCTGTTGTCTGAAACTGGGAGTGCTGCATGAAACCTGTCAATTAATATATAAAGAGGTTTTATCTGTATCATTGTTATGGCCAATCTTTACATATTCTTAAATATGAATTATGTTCAGCTAAAAGAAAAGAATAATCTCACTAGGATGAATTTTGTGTTAAACAACATTAAAATTGCACTTGACTCTTTCTGGGATGCCCAAGGATACTACAACCAGATGGCTACATGGATGACATTTATCAAGGTTGATTAGTTTACTCACCCTCGAGGCAGCGGTGGCATGTTCCCACTCTTCACAGCTGTGTACTCCATAAATCCTGCACTCAGTAGGGAAAATGTAAGAATCAGTGCAATCCTGGACACTCTGTTTCAATCTAAGGCGGTCAGTGGCGGTCTTTATCTTACCCAGATCTAACACATGGAGGTCGTTAAAGTAAGCAGCTGTCTTGCGTCCACCGAATATGATCAACTTCTGAGACAGAAGTGTAGTCGTGTGCCTGTTAAAAAGCATGAAATTAGCATTCCTGAGAATTAAGAAAGCACTTAGGGTACAGTAAATTTACTGAAGACTGACCCAAACCGAGGCAGAGGTCTGTCCCCTTCCACAATGGGCTGGTACCAGAGTCCAAACTCTGGGTTGAAGATGTATAGAGCATTACTGCAGGATTTATCCCCTGAGGAAAGGCTTGACTGAACTCCTCCAAAGACAAAAAGTTCTTTTTTGTAAAAGGCTGCAGAGTGATACGCTAAATTTGGAACGCTGCCTTTTGCCTTAAGGATGGGAAATATCCACAAATACAGCAATGAAAAGAAAAGAAAAAACAAAGAGCCTATTTCACATACACGTACATGCTTTTAAAGAATGTGAAAACGCAGCATGTTAACAACAAACCCACATTGACAAGCTTCCACTTCCAGGTCAGAGTATTAAGGATGTACAGCTCCGTGTAGCGCAGACCCTCCCTCAGGCCACCGTAAACAAAGACTGCTCTAGAGTCTGGGTCATAGGTTGCAGTGTGTCCTCGGGCACAGGGTGGTTCAGGTCCAGAAGCAGAGGAGTTCAGCGGGAACCAGAAGTCACCGTCTGAAAAGAGGTCAGGTAACGATTAAGTACAAATGCTTCCTCCACCGGTGCCGCACACCTTCACTCTAGTGACATGCTTTATAGATACAGGGAGCTAATATACATATATGGCCAGATGTATATTCAGCAAAGTCCACTGACCCAACTCGAGCTTCCACAGGGAGTCTTTGCAGTAGTTTTGTTCTGAAGTCTCCCCTCCAATGAGGATGGCAGTATCAGGGTCACTCAGACACATGGTGTGGCACCAACGCTTTGACGGACACGCTGAAACTAATCACAAATCTTTGTAAAAGCCACTTCTGTGCAATCCTGTGTAATCCCAATATTTTTTTCCTTTTTGCCTCTGACCTCCTCTGTTCTCACTCTTTATGAGCACAGTCATTTCTTCTTGACCGTTTATCCCGGATGACCTCATCTTCTTAGGGGTCGAAGCTTGGTCTACATCCTCTGAGAGGCTGTCCACGTCCTCAGAGCTCCACCTCAGTTGGCCTCTCCTACCAATGACTGTACGTCTGGGTGTCTTTTCCTTCCAGTCACACAGAGCGCACAGCAGACCTGCGTCAGTTACTTCCCTCACATGCAGACACTAACATACACCTAAGGATAACACTCACTGTAGGCCACACTGGAGGTTTATTCCCCACAGCGGAGTCACTGGTGTCGACTTTATTGACTTGGACCTCAGCAAAGCACACGCTGTCGCTCCTGTCGCTCAGGTGTGAGGTCTCAGAAGTCACCTGGATTTGTATTAATTGAACAATCATGACGCTCGAAAACCAAAGTGTGCATTCCCACTGAACTATTTTGGCCCCGTTTATCTCACCGTTTCACTTTCAGCATCTAGGGTGTGTAATGTGGTGGAATGATCGGTCACATCGTGCCCTTCGGGGAACAAGCATTTCCTTTGAACCAAAGGGGTACTGCTGAAGACGCTGGAGTTGTCCTGTGGCTGGTCACAAGTCTTGGCAAGAAATAAGTGAAATGCCACTATGCAATATCAGCTACAGACTGCTTTTTTGTTTTAAATCCCACATATAGGCATGATGCCTAGCACTCTGACGCAAAGAAAGCAGGGAGTGTAATGGAAACTAGCACAAAGAAATGAATATTAAATGACAATATATGCCATAAAGCTATTTATAGCAAGGTGAAAATGGTGGAATCAGATTCTGTTTTCCAAGAGTTATTTATAAAAAAAAAAAAAAGCAGTCAGCATAAGATATTAGGTTAAACTTCACCTTCCTTTTAGGCTTATTGTATCTACTCAGTACAGGAGTTGGATTAATTGCATTCAGATAAGCTATATTTGCCCTTTGCATGCTATAACCTGTAGCCTGAACAGTTTGTGTGTTTTAAAGTGAGGCTATATGTAAATTCCCCACTGCATTTAACCATTAGTAAAATAACCCAGACTTTCCCCACACAAACATGAGCTCTACGTGAGTTTTTTCGGATCTGGTCGCGCTAAATACTTGTGTTTTGTACCTCTCCAGAGACTGTGAGTAAAATCTTGCCATAAACTCCCCTCCTGCCCCTCTCTGCAGCCACTTTGACCATCTCTGGGCTCCAGTCACCTTCCCAAGTCAGACACCTGAGCACAAAGAGATGTCAGCAAACTCTAGTTTACAAATTCACAACCTTGCGGCTACTTCACGAACCTAAATTGAGAGGACAGAATCCCAATTTTCTGAGCTGGTACTTCTGCACTGACCAGAACCTCGACTGAAATTGTGGTCAAACTGCATTCCCACTGTCCCAGACCGAAGATGACCAGCTGCTTAGGAAGAGGCAGCGGGACATGGACTTGAAAGCACCTCCGGTTAGATTTGCTGTGAAGAGTGAGTCCAAGTAGTGATTCTTCGCGTCCTTAATAATCTGTCAACATGGTTTTTTAAAATTATTATTATTATTATGTATTTATCAAACGACATACCTAATAAACTGGCGGGGGACGTCACGCAAAGACCAAAGGACATAAAAATTCAGTCTCCCCATGTTGTTTTACGGATCCAATACGTTCTGAGAGCAGCAAACATCGGCGGTACTTAGATCTCCAGTGCTAACCTCTGATTGGCCGAGAGGAGCTCGAGGCCGTGGTGAACACGCACAGGTGAGAGGTCAAAGTAATTAAGTAATAGGCCCCCTAGTGGATCTGCTGGTTGGACTCCAGATGCCTCACTGCCTTTCTATATGTCTTTGGATAAAGGGAAGTCAAGTGTATGACTGAACATCTATCCATTCGCTTAGCAAATTCAAGATCTTTGTCTCATAACAAAAATAAAAATAAAATAGTTACAATTTAAACTCTAAACACCAAATATCTGCTATCAGTATTTATTATGGATTTGTGCAGGCTAACTGAATAGACTTTCAAAGTCATTTCATTGTTTTATAGACACACAATTGATTGGCATGATCAAATTTCGTCAGTCATATTTGCTTCACGTATTATTGGTGATCAAGTGAGAACCTCCACTGCACTAATAGCAATATCAGATGAGAGTTCTAGCTTCTCTCATCAGTAGGTGAGAGTGGGGCCGCTTAGGTACGAGGTCCATCCAGGAAATGTGGCTTGTGGCTACCATCTCTACTACTACACTGTTTTCCTCATGTTAGCACTTATAGTTTTGGGGGGGGGGAATTATATGTGGGACAAAGAAACTTCTGAGTGTATTAGACTTGTGTTTCAGCCATCTAGAAAATGGCTGATATCTGAAATTTTCAAACAGTGAATGAACTTTTATTAAAAAGACTAATCGTGCACTGTGGTCGTAAAAGGGATGGACATGGTCAGGAAAAATATTCAGGTAGGCTGTGGTGTTTTGATGGCGTGCACTTGGTACTTAGGGGGCCCAAAATAAGCCAACAAAATATAATCATGTCAGTTCTTGGGCTCTGTGGTGTTAATGCAGTGTGGTTGTGTCATATTACTTTATTATTCTGTCCACCCTCAGGAGCAACATTTCATCTAAGAGGCGACAATGCTAAAAACAGCTTCTATTAGAGTTCATCTCCACTTGCAGTCTGAAACCATGCACTCTGGTTCTTACTTAATGA